GACTTGTTATGTTAATTAGGAATAATGTACAATTAAAGAAATAACTATAATATGCAACAATAATACCAAATTTTAATGGCGTTTTTCATTGGGATTGCACTCGTGCAGTATTTCCATAAGAGCAATGTTAAAATCTAAAATCTAAATTTATATTAAATCCTTCGTCCTTACAAAAATTTATCCATGCATTTCTTTAATCCGGATTTTTCGGAAACCTGTTTGTGAGTGAAAATTATTTAGTAATTATTGTGAATCTACAATTTCACAATACTATACATATGATTATAATCTCCGAAATAAAAATCTCATTATTGTTGATAATACTAACCGATGAAACGTTATTCCATGATTTCGAGCTGCTGCTGTTATGCCACAAGCTCTACAGTATACCATTTTGATCGTTTATTTCCATACACTGTTGCATAAAAGACTATACACTGCATATTAATGCGTACGGCGTACGGTATGCCGCTTGCCGCTATGCTCGAGCATTCCCTCTCACTTTCAAAAAGTAGGTCGCTCAAGATGGCTGCCATGACGTACATCCGTCCGCGGATTTACCTAGTCCTGGCTAGTATATGCTCCCTCCTGTTTCTTTTTACTCAATGGGTAAAATCAGATGATACGAAAAAGCTGAGACTGCCAAGGCACACAGGGGAGTGCGTCATTGAGACAGCCAATCACAGCTATTGCGTATGATTGTATTCCGCAAGTGATTGGCTGTCTCAATGACGCACTTTCCGTTCCGCAGTTCTTTTCCGTATCATCTAATTTCACCCTAAGACGATCTTGAATAGGGGTGTTTACGATAATTCAAGTTCGAGTTAGTTTCACTAGGACCGAAAAATGAGATAGACATAACCATCTAGAATCTTTATGATTTATGACAACTCGACGCTGTCTTGTATTGCTTGAGTTAAATTAATTGAATTTGTTGAGTTTATTGAGCAAATTTTATTGTAATAGAAAAATGTCAACTGCAAATCAGTCTATGAAGAAACAAATAATGTTGGTATGTATATTGGT